CCGTATATAAGCCCCAAGACGTGGCAAGGAGACTGTGCAACTGGTAGAGAAATCCCAGAACATCTTTTAGCAAAAAGTAGGGCTCTATGAATCTCTAGGGCAGGGCTGCCACCAAAAATCTTAATGCTCCTGGTTTGGCCTTGAGAGAACTCTCTTAAAACCCTCAAAGTCATTTTAACACAAAATGGTTTATACCCTGGGGACTGTGCCTTCACAGGCAAATTATATCCACGCATCCTACTTTCCTGGTCAGCTTGTCACTTTTCTGCTGCTGCACTGATGTAAAATAAGGAGATGTTTTTCCAGGGCTAGTTTCTTTTCCTACAGAGCAGCTCCCCGTAGCCCAAGACCGAGCAGTGGTGGATTTTCCACCCTAGAGCCCTCGCCACGCTCCGCGCCTGCCGCTGACTCTGTGTATGAAACACGCAGGTCCTCGACACCGGACAGACTGCCCTGGGCCCCGAAGATCGGCCCCCCTTCTCCGCGATCCTGTCACTCAGATGTGGGCACCGGCCACCTCAGATGACGGGCGACAGGACTCCGCCCGTGGGAGCCATGTCGGGGCAGCAAACTCGTGGGACTGGCCCAGAGCAGAGGTGATAGCGTGGCCAAGTCACGCTCGGGCAGATAGGACTGCTCCTGGCCTATCCTGACAAAGGGGGGCCACACTGGCTCCCCAGCGGCTACCTGCAGAAAACCGCTACCGTGGGGGGCAGGGGGGTCCAAGCCGTGGACTAAGCTCGGACGCATGGGGCTCGGGCCGGGACCGGAGGAGCCCGCAAGGCCGCTAGCCTTTGGGTAAGCAAGTCAGTGACGTAACGTCCCCGCCGATACAGAAAGCACGGAAGGCAGGCAAGGACGCTCCAGACGTGGTCCCACCTGTCAGACACCTCACCCGGGCTACGCGCTGGGCATGGACCCCTGCGGCCCGTGCCCGCCACATCTCCCCCTCCTAACGCGGCTGACCCACCACTGCTGCGGGCTCCCGGGAGGGCTCCTCCAGGGCGGGGGCCGGCCAGGCGCAGAGGCAAAGGAGAAGGACGGAAGGAGGAAGGCCAGGAAGGAAGCCGGGGGCCGAGACGGAGGCTCGCCCGTCCTGCTGCGGGGGCTGTGTGCGTCCTGCGTCTCCGGCTGGGCTGCCAGCTCGGGGGGGTGGGGAGGCGTGGGGCAGGGGCACATCCCCCATCGCCCCCGAGGGACCCCACCCATCGCGACCATGGCGAGCCCACGGTGAGACGGTCTCGTAGAATGGGTCAGGGGCTTCCCACGGTATCGTTTTCGGTTAAGAAATTTAAAGATGAGTCAAAAATGCTTCACTACAGCAGAACCAGGATGTTAGTCCAGGACCTAATGCCTTTGGTAATATGGTCCTTTCTTCCTCCGCTACCTGCCTCTCTCATTCACGAGGAAGAGAGAGTGCGTTTTTGAGGCTTCCTCCGTCCCCCGCTCCGTGGGCATTCCTTCCACGCCCGCTGCCCCCTCCTCGGCCACCTCGCACTCAGCTCCCCACTCTGGGCCCTTCGCCCGGATCCAGCCCAGACTGCTGCCTGTGCGCCTACCGCTCCGCCCCGGGGCACTGGCCCGGCTTGCACATGGGCCAGTCACCCACGCTGCTGCCCAGGGGTGGGCACCAGCGTGGGGAACTTCGGTCTAGCGGCAGGGGGTGTAACTTCGGGCCAGCACGCGGGGGTGTGACCAGCAGGCGGGCTTCTTCGGGGGCCTGGCCTGGCCTGGCGGGACCCCCCCCGCCGCCCGCGCTGGGCTCACTCCTGCTGCCGGCTCGGCCCCCCGTCCCGAGCCACCCTCACTTCGGAAAGCGCTCCCCACCTTTGCAGCAGCTCGGGCCCCCGGGACGTGCTCAGTCAACACCAGCCTTCGCGACTCGGCGAACCGTGATCCGTCAAGGACCAGGGCAACCGCCTCCCTGTCCCCGACCAGCTGCCTCGGCACCCCGGGCAAGAGGGACACCCCTCCTCTAACACACGTCGCTGAACGCTCATTCCGTGCCACCCGTGGGGCATTCGTCACAGCTGCTGCTGGCACTCCTCAGTTTGTGCGCCCCTCCGTCTCTCCCCTGTGCTCGGAGGTCTGGCGGGAGCGCTGGGACGAGCGGAGGGCCCAGCGCCCGGCAGGGTCGCAGCTGAGGGCACGTGTCCCTCGCACCTCCCCCCGGCCAGTGCTCAGCAGCGCTGGCCTTTCTGGCACCGTGGGCCCTGTGACAGCCGGTGCTCCGAGAGCTCTTGTCCACCCTGGTTCCGGCGTCTCACGTCCCCGTGCCACCGCTTCCTACCACGGCGTCGGGGGGCCCTCGTCTGTCCAGAGGCCACCGGTTGCCCTCCTCAGAGCTCAGGCTGCCCCCTCGACTGCCCGGGTCACCGTGCTGACAGGGGACGCGCAGCATCTGGTCGGAGACTCGCGTCCGAAAGCACGAAGATCACCTAACCTTCCCCCAAGTCCCTCCCTTCAGGGTCTCAGGCGGGCCATCTCTTCCGGGGACCCCCGTGTGCCTGCCGCCCACCCGAGCAGGCCGGGCGGATGCACACGACCGCTCCTCATGCGAGCGGCCCTTCGCCCTCCACACGTTCTCAGCGTTCACTCTGCTCTGTCCCTCCGCCTCCGCAGCCCTGACCCCTTCTTTCTCGCTTCCTGGGTTTCTTTCTACCCCCGAGAAGCTGGCTAGGTCACAAGGTCCGCAGATGCTACGGAAAAGGCAGAAGCGAGCCAGGCTCCTGAAGAGGCCTGGCCCGGGGCCGAGGGCCTACCTGGCCCGAGGCCACGCGAAGAAGGGGGACCCGACCGAGATGACACAGCAGTGAGCGCAAAGCTCCGGAAGACACCGCCTCCCACTGTGCACAGACTCACGGATGTGGTTCTGCTGGTCCTAATACAACCTTCTAGTCTGCAACCGGACAGCCAAACTCTGTACCTGAGGCTCACGTAAGCAAAACAACTGTGGCGACTGATGGAAAGAAAAACTGATCTCTGTGCAGGTTCTCGAATTTACTCAGCGGCCACTGTGTGTGAGTGGAGGGCCGCCCCTGGAGCAGACGCAGCTCAGCTGAGCTGTGGGACACAGAGAGCGCGTGCGGGGCTTCTCTGGTCTTGTATCCGGTGGCCCGGGACTACAGCCCAACTGGGCCCTAGAATGATCCACACCTCTCATGGCATCTGACCAAGAGGGCAGATGTCCTGGTGCCCAGGGGTGGGCACCAGCGTGGGTAACTTCGGTCTAGCGGCAGCCCTGCTCTAGGGAGAGCGACTTTTACAGTAAAATCTCTGGACACAGATCTACGTAGACGAACCATCTAGAAGTCTCAACTGGAAAAGCTTCCGGTCAAGCGTCACTGCAAACGTGAGCGCGTTCTTACCGTCCTTCCAAAGCTCTGCCACGAATCTGTCCGAGGACTGGTGCAGGAGGGTGGCCACGTTGTCGTTCAGGGGGTCCATGTTCTTCATCAGCCACTCGTCGGCCTTGTAGTCCACCTGGCCCGTTGCGGGCGAGATGTGGAAACACACACAAAAACGGGACATTTTCAGCCTTCCCCCAGAACGTTTGCAGGACCACCGGACGAGTGGGCGGCCTCGGGGGCCACGCATTGGTCACAGGCATGACACGAGGGCTCACGCACGCACGCGTCTCCGCACGGGACACAGCAGGATTTCCAAGTCTGGGTAGCGGCCGCTCGTCCCTTACCTTGCCCGCGTAATGTATAATGCAGAAGTCAGCTTTGTCTTTCAGCTGCCGGGGCTTCTGGAACTTGGAGTGAGAGCCTTGCTCCTGAACTAGTTTCTCCACAAAGGTTTTGTCCGTGGCCTTCGGGAACCAGCACTCTTCGTCCAAAAGGGCCAGCACGCCGGGGGGGTTCGCCTGGGAATGAGAGGCAGCGAGAGTGGACAAGCCGCGCCCCCGGGAGTGGTGGACCGTCTACAACGACTAAGAGTTTTAGGAAGATCCGCGGAAACCGAAGCGCCAGGGCAGCAGGTAACGGACCAGACCCAGGGCGCAGGCGGGGGTGTCGAGCTGCTGACCAAGGGAGGAGTCACTCACTCTGGAAAACGGACGAACCTGTAAACTGTAAGTGAACTCACTGCACGCGGACGGCCCCCAAAAGCAGCCACTGAGAGACCCCAGCAAGGAGCCGGGAGGTGGGGACATGGAGCGGGATGCTTCCATTCAGGGACTGGCCGGGGAAATGATCCTAAGACCTCCACCAGAACAAACTCTGGTTGCTGGGGGCGGGGGGTGCACGAGAGGAAGGGGAATTTTTAAAAAAGAAAACCAGAACAAAAGCACCCCTCAGCTAGATGGAAGGCTTCCAACACCTTATATCCTAACCGATCTCGGTTCCTGTTTAAGGGACAACGAAATAAAATGTGTCCCTTCACGCTTGGCCCAACAGCGGAACCAGAATCCGGGACAGAATATAAAAGGTGGGGTAGTGATTTATCAATTCTTGTATGGATTTATTTCGGCCAACGCTTGCGAGCAAGGCTGTTTTATTTCACTTGGCTAGGTCCCCGCATAAAGACCCAAAAAGCATGAGAGAAAGTGGATTTGGACTCTGAGAGCACGCTGCCACCACTGAACTGGTCCCGTGAGCGTGGACCGTAGGACACGCGAGTTACGGCTCGGTACAGAAAGAGAGCGTTGAGCCCCTGCATGGACTTCCCTTGTGGAGGTGAGTGGAGGACGCACGAAAGCGACATGAACAGTTAAATCGTGAAGGCCTAGGTCACTGCGTCTGGGTCATCCCTCACGGTCACCCCACAAGTACGGCGAGGCGGTGAGACAAGACTCAGGGCTGTGACTCCAGGGCGCACCTACGAAATCTGCGGTTCTTTAACTCATGCAGCCTTTACGTCCACTGGGGAGGAGCCGTCTCTACACAAATACTGCTTAGAGCACCCAGAGTCAGCGAGACCATCGGTCAGGGGAAGGCGGCGGCCGCACAGATCGCCAGCAGGCAGAAGCTGGGGGGGTCCTGCGATGAGCCCCAGGTGGCTAACTGCTCCACGGCTCCTCCACCTACAAGAACCCAAAGGGCTCAGAGCAGCTCAAAGAGCGATGATCAAAGGCGGGTAGGATCAGGCGGTCTTAAAGAAGCCAAGGTTGGAGAGGCAGGTAACTCAACATGCCCCATTCACCGGACTCTGAAGATCCGTATTCACGTTAATGAGGGCACATCTATCTTTCTAGCATGATTCTTACATTTTAATCCCTTTCAATGAAAATATTCCTAAGTTCTGAAACAGGACCCCGAATGTAATTTAATCTTTTCTAAATGGCTCGGGGACAGCATGATTATGAATGTCCCCGGTTAGGTCTTTTTATTTTTGCTACTTCATCCTTCAGTGTCAAGCTCTGTGTTATTGCTTCTCCTTTCACCGGGGATTTCTACAGAGCTGGAAGTCTGGGAGACGGTTTCCATCTGAGGCTGGGGGCAGCATGGGGGTGGGGGTGGGGGGTCTGTAAGCGGCTTGCTGAGCTTCCCTTCCTGACTGCCAAGGGGTATAGCCAAGTTGTTAATATTTGTTTGAGATCACAAGTGAATGAGTTCTACGTGGTCCTGTGTATTTCTTTCTTTTTCTTTTTAAAGATTTTATTTGAGAGAGAGAAAGAGAGGGAGAGGGAGAAGCAGACTCCCCACTGAGTGGGATCATGGCCTGAGCCGAAGGCAGACGCTTCATGGACTGAGCCACCCAGGCGCCCCAGTCCTGTGTATTTCTGCGTTAAGACTAAACCAAAAGGGAAAGAACGCCTAATGCTTAGTAAGAGTGCTGTAAAAACTGCATCTGCCCAGGGCGCCCGGGTGGCTCAGTCGGTGAAGCGTCTGCCTTCCACTCAGGTCATGATCCCAGGGTCCTGGGATCGAGCCCCGCGTCGGGCTCCCTGCTCAGCGGGGAGACGGCTTCTCCCTCTGATCCTCCCCCTGCTCGTGCTCTCTCTCACCCTCTCAAATGAACAGATTAAAACTAAAACAACAAAAAACATGTGCCCCCAAAACCCCTGAAACTTCAAATTAGAAAAAAAAAAAAAAGCGGACAAAATAAGAACAGCTTTATGCTCACAAGGATAAGCTTTAGTTATGTGAAAAATGAGTCTAGATGCCATGTCCCGCTCCCAGCCGAGTGCGCCGGCCCGTGTGGCCCTGGCGGGGGGGTTGGGGGGGGTACGGGGGACTGGGCAGGGAGGGGTCAGGGAGGGCGCTGCGGACACGGACGGTGGTCAGAAAAAGCTTTCTTTTTAAAATAGGTATTTTATCAGAGTATCAGCTTCCTACAACATTTATGTTAGAAAACGGTCTTATGGCTAATAGGCTGGGGCGGGGGGGGGGCCTGGCTCTGTCAGTGGAGGAAGCGACTCAATCTCACGGTTGTGAGTTCGAGCCCCACGCTGGGCGTGGAGCCTACTTTAAGAAAAAGACTCATTGAGGGATGCCTAGGTGGCTCAGTTGGTTAAGCGACTGCCTTCGGCTTAGGTCATGATCCTGGAGTCCCGGGATCGAGTCCCGCATCGGGCTCCCTGTTCGGCAGGGAGTCTGCTTCTCCCTCTGACCCTCCCCTCTCTCATGTGCGCGCTCACTCTCACTCATTCTCTCTCTCTCAAAGAAATAAAATCTTAAAAAAAAAAAGAAAAAGACTCATTGGGGGGAAAAGCACCAGAAAGGCCCGGAAGCCCCGCCCGCGCAGGACCACGCGGCCTTACGGGTCTCTCGATGAGGTCGATGCAGGGCTGCAGGTCGAGGCCGAAGTCGATGAAGCTCCACTCGATGCCCTCGCGCTGGTACTCCTCCTGCTCCAGGATGAACATGGTGTGGTTGAAGAGCTGCTGCAGCTTCTCGTTGGTGTAGTTGATGCACAGCTGCTCGAACGAGTTCAGCTGCGGGCGGCCGGGGTTCCAAACATGGGGAGGGAGGGAGAACAGGACCCGTCAGTCACCTTCTGGCAATCAACACAACTCACTGAACGTTCCCAGCTAGGGACCAGACGGCACCGACTCCGCGTGACCGGGGTGACGGAGCCCGGGGGCCTCTGCCAGTCCCCGCGTCCATCCCCCGCGGCCCAGGCCACATGACTTCAGCGACACATTCCGAGGAGGAAAAGAGAAAACCCTCGACTTGGTGCGCGACATGCGTGATCTACACATACAGCAACTCCTAAAGTTCCTACTGCTGAATGGTTCACGGACAGAAGCAAAGAAGAAGCGAGGAAGGAAGAGGGAAAAGGAAGGAAAACAGACGGGGGAGACCAGGTCAGGCCCCACACGAGCCCTTGTATGTGCGAGGCTCCAGGCCGCCTCTCCACGCGCTGCTTCCCTTAGCAGTGTCCAGGCTGGGTGGTGACAGAGGGGGACCAGGCTCATGGCGGTGAGCACGGAGTAGCGTATGTGTGCCCCGATTCAGCCTTGTGTGCTCGTTACACTTCAGCAGGAACAGCGTTAGTGTGTTGCCCTCGGCCTGAGCAGCTTCCCCGTGTTGGACACTGCTGTTTCCTCCTTGGTGAACTCTGCCCACTTCTCTACTAGGCTGCTGATGGGCTGGAGGGCTGGAAACGTGGAGGGGTGGAGGGGTGGAGATGTGGAGGGGTGGAGATGTGGAGGGGTGGAGGCGTGGAGGGCTAGAGAGATGGAAGGGTGGAGGTGTGGAAGGCTGGAGGGGTGGAAATGTGGAGGGGTGGAGGGGTGGAAGGGTGGAAGGATGGAACGGTAGAATGGTGGAGGGGTGGAGAGATGGAAGCATGGAGGGGTGGAAGGGTAGAGGGGTGGAGGGGCTGAAGGATGGAAGGGTGGAGGGGTGGAAGGGTGGAGGGCTGGAGGGGTCTAACTTTCACAAGCCATCACCTTACATATTAGAAGTTCTCCACCTTTGTTCCTGCCTCCATGCTATTCACGAGTAGCATGTGCCCATAAATAACCTTTCATTAGAAAACGGGATCTTCAATTAGGGAATGCGTAATCCATCTCCGAGGAACAGATTTATAGTCTGAAAAAGCCATTCCAATCCTCTCCCCGTCAGGGGTGTTCTAATATTTCAGAAGGAGGTCATGCTCGGAGGGCAGGGGCCATGCTTGCCTTGCCCAGCACCGGATTTCCAGCGAACGGCATCAAGATTTGCAGACGGAGGGGCACCTGGGTGGCTCAGTTGGTTAAGCTACTGCCTTCAGCTCAGGTCATGATCCTGGAATCCCAGGATCGAGTCCCGCATCGGGCTCCC